ATCTAATATAAATTATGCTTTAGTTGAAATTTAAAGGGGTCATATTATGCTTTAAACTTTAGTTAGTCTGTAATGTTGCTGTTTGAGCATAAAAAAGATCTGCAAAGTTACAAAGTCCACTTCAAAAGGAGATATTTTATTTAACAGAAATCACTTTTCAAAAACTACAACGAACGACTCGTTTGGACTACAACGCATATTTTCCGGGATTTGTAATATCACAAATATCAACGACTGGGATGAGACCTGTTTGAGCTGCACTAGAGAAGGCAACGAGTGTTATGCTATTCTAGCTTTCCCAAGGCAGACAAACTTAGAGTGGTTACAATCATCTGGGTTCAAATCACGCTCAAATTGATTTGATTTTGACACAATATTTACACTGAAGCTTGCAGCTTACTATGGTAAGGGGCATTACATTTCCTGACCAGGCACCGAGTGGTGCCAATCACAACACACACTGGCACAGCTAACCAATCACAGCACATTTCGTATTTCAGAAGGCGGGCCTTCATTTGATACAGGAACTATTCGAGCCGTTCATGCCAGACTGGGGAGAGAGGTGTTGTAATAATGTAAAATGTGTGAAAAATAATGTGTTTTTCGAACAACCTAGTATGAGAGCCTGTTCTAGTACACCCCCAAAACAAAATCAAGACTTTGTAAAAGAGCATAATAGGACCCCTTTAAGCAAGAACCACTGGACATCATATGTAGTAGGGATATATGGAATGCCAAAGCTGACTTAATTATAAATAAATAAATATTTATTTATTTCCACTTTAATTTTTTTAACATTTAAATATTTATTTACGTATTTATTTATTTCTAGATTTATTTATTTCTAAATTTAAATAAACAAATATTTATTTATTTCCACTTTAATTTTTTTCACATTTAAGTATTTATTTACGTATTTATTTATTTCTAGATTTATTTATTTTCACATTTATTTATTTCTAAATTTTTTGGTCCGTAGGGTAATGAGGAGGGCGTGTTTTACCTCAGGAATAGCAATCGAGCCAGAGTAGGCGAGGGGTAAGTTTTGAGGCCACAGTGACAACTTGTGGTGCCCAAATGAAGTACAAGAAGTGTAGCCTACATGAGGTGCCTGTTGATACACTGTAAAATGTAACTGATGATCTTACTAATAAAAGTAAGTGATTATAACTTATTTTGAATAAGTTTGTTGACTTTACTAAGTTTAACAAAGTAATGACAACTTTTTAGCACTGAAAGTTATTAAACTAAATAGGTACAATTAAACTTTACTTACAATAATGAGTATTTTGAAATGAGTGGTTATGCACAGTTCCACAAATAGGTGGAGTCGATTTGCAGCAGAGCATCTGATGATGGGAGAAGCACATGGAGAGGTGAGTCATCTCGTGTTTGTCATATTTTTCAGTTGCTTAACATACAGTAATCGACCATGTAATAATCAGATTAAGTAAGGTAGAGTTACATAGCAACATTGGATGTTATATTTTTTTTGATCAAATTGTTGGATTGTGCTGGATTGTGTTCATCGAAATGAGCAGTCTAACATTTGCTAATCACTGCATCTTTGGCTGCATTTTTTTTTATCAAGTTTTTGTTTTGAATGGCCTCATTCTTGAAAATTCACCTGAATGAATGTGTAAGTTGTTGATTCCGTTCTGATGTAAATTTTTTGGTTCATGAGAGTGTTTTCTAAATGTTAGTAGGTTTTACACATGCTTCCAAGCACATGTAAATTGTGCTTGAAACATACAAACGTTCTGTATTATTTTAAGCAAACTACATTTAGTTAAAACCATACAACTCTATATAAACTCAGGGATGGGTTATTTATATATTATAAATGTACTCATTTGGAAGGATAGTATGGGATGAATGACTTGGGCAATATGGCCAAAATCTTATGAATGAATGAATGAATGATGCATTTATATAGCGCTTTATTGTGTATTGTTGTACACCCAAAGCACTTTACAATCATATGGGGGGTCACTCGTCAACCACCACCAGTGTGCAGCATTCACTTGGATGATGCGACGGCAGCCACAGGACAGCGGCGCCAGTGCGCTCACCACACACCAGCTACAGGTGGAGAGGAGAGAGAGTCATAGAGCCAATCAAGTGGTTTGGGGATTATTAGGAGGCCATGATTGACAAAGGCCAGGGGGCAATTTGGCCAGGACACCGGGGTTACACCCCTACTCTTTATGAGAAGTGCCATGGGATTTTTAATGACCACAGAGAGTCAGGACCTCGGTTTAACGTCTCATCCGAAGGACGGTGCTTTTTTGACAGTATAGTGTCCCCGTCATTATACTGGGGCATTAGGACCCACACAGACCACAGGGTGAGCACCCCCTGCGCTGTTTTTAATATCACGGGTTATTATTTAAATTTCACGTGGTTGGTTATTCTGGCTGGGAAGCGTGCAATCTGTGATCGCATGCATTTGCTGAAGCTCGTGAAAGCGTGTAATCACTTTCTTATGCACGCTTTTTTTTTTAGGTTTCACTTTCAACACACACAAAGCATGTTTCCAAGATTCGGGATAGAAGGAGGCATCAGTTACTGTAGAAGATTTGTCACCTTGCGCCAATTCCCGTGTGGTCACCGCATTAACTGATTATAATGGGTTCATGTTTTAGGCTACAATGCATGGCGTGTGTGTTTCACTAGCTCCGTTCCCATGGACACCTTTTGTTTGATCTAATTCTGACCACAGAATTAGTCCTTTATGCTTCTGTAGTCGCTCTTCAGTTTTTTTTTTTACTTATCCCTACATTGTTTGTAGGTCCGGTGGTAGCCGTGTGCGGCCAAGAGCTGAGTGACCTCCTGAAAAACGTTTTCATTCCGCATCGCCCCATTAAGCTCTCGCTGGATCCGCTCCTCGGCTATCAACGAGAGGAACGTCTGTACTTCCTCAACAGACCACAAAAAAAGCCATTTTTTGGATGTTACAGAAAAGAGCGTTTGTTCAAACAAAAGTTGCGTTCGATCCTTCGCTGGCTGTGCTGATTTAAATCTAGCGGTTGTGTTGTGTTTGTGTCGCAAGTTCAGTGACGCAGGTAGTGACGATTCTCTCCGGCCAATCAGTGATCAGCAGAGTTTACACGTCACGTTTTGGTAACGGTACGGTTCGCTTGGAACCCCAACCGAAGTGGTACTAAAAAAAGTACCAGGCACCAGGTACTATAGAGTTGGTGTCGTCGGTCCTCCATCCTATGACCCTGAAACCGATTGAGCTCAGCCATCTTTGAAGGACATTTCAATTCTCTAATTGCACTACGAGGAGGCGCGGATGGAGGAGTGAGGAGGCTTCCAGAGGAGCTAAGAGTGAGGATACACAGTTGTATCCTTTGTGGAAGTGTTCATCGAAAAACCTGACGCACGTATAAATTCTCCTCCCCCTTCACATCTTTTGTAATAATTTTAATATATTAACTTTGCAGTTTAAATAAACCATGTCATATATTTCAAACAGGGCATCTTACTTTATTAATATTTATTATGAATGTCTTAAATAACAGACTTTAACAAAATAAGGGCAGATCCCTTTAGCGCAGCTGATGACGCTTTCAAGTGACGCTAAAGGGAGTGAGGATATATAATTTCACTTGATTCAATTACTCCATCCTTGCTTCTTTAACTCGCATCCTGAAGGGGTGGAGCTAAGACGTGAGGAAAGGAAACGAGGATGCACAAATAAGAATTGAGAAGCACCCGAAATAGCTCAACACGAGAGCTAACGCAAACGCAATGGCATGTGAAATAAAACGTCATCATGTTTTAAAGAAGAGTGGCTTGATTAAGTGGTGGAAATAGCGGATGATGGGCACAGAACAGTAACAAAACTCAGAGACATTTACAGTATACACAAGTGTACTGTAGTAGTGTGCAAACTCTACTACATGGGGATGTTTTAGATTACTGTAAATAATTCCCATATTCACGTTTTTTGAAAATATTTATTGAAAATATTAGTTTTTTATAATCTATTATATTATATTATAAGCCTAAATAATTGACCTCAAAAATGGAATTAATGAGCAATATTTTTTTCATATTTGCTATATTAGCCTATACATTATATCATATTATATTATTAAAAATAATTGAACTATTCTGTGTGAGATATTTGTTAAATTATTTTTTAATAAAATTTTTTGGGAACACAGCAATGTAAAAAAATAATTCTCAGGTAACCTAAAATGTGCATCATTCAGTTACATTAAGGGTCAAATCAAATATAAATAGCACATTAAAGTTAATAAAACAGGTCTGGTATACTTTGGTATTCTTTATATATAAAGAATGTTTTTGCTCAGGTGGCTGAAATGTCCGCCCAATAGAGAACGTTTTTGGTCAGCAAGAAAAAAAAACAGAGGGAACATTGGTCCCGGGTATAGACTACTACTGCTCATTAAGATAATTGGCACCACCTGTGCTTTGCCATATTTAATTTTGTCTATTTAAGTAAGCTGTGTTCAGCCTGAGTTAGAAAAATGTAAGTGACGGTCCTCTGTTTCTGTTTGACCTACTTTGTTTATCTGTGGAAGTGTGGCTTACTCTTTTGTTTTTATTTGGAGACTGAGACTTAGTAAAGACTGTCTGTTATCTAAATCTCCTGGTTTGCCCTTCCTTCTGCACATTGTGGCACACTTCCATTACTAACAGCTCAGAAGTAGAGAAGTAGCTTCCCTGATGAGGAAAATGTTTGAGAAACACCTGAATAGTTATGATCACCTCCACCCAAAGACCACCATTAGAACATCATTTTTTAAATTCCAATCCAGTCCATCATAAACAAAAATGGCTCAAAACTGTTTATGGAGGCTGTAAATAATAATAATAATAAATAAATAAAATAACATTTAGACTTATCTAAATGATAAGTCAAAAATCAAGCTTGAATTAATTTTTATTTATTAATTTTTGTAACCTTCCAAACTCACCTTAAGGGGAAAAAAAGACCAAAAAATAAATGTTACATTTCCAGTTGCATGTTTAAGTTCTTTCATTTCTGATTAAGCTCAAAACTGGGAAGTCAAACAACTGCATCCAAAATGTTATGTATTTAATTTCTGTCATTGTGAACATACCTTAAACGTGTTATATTTGAAAAGCATTTTCACTGATCTAAAATATTCAGCATAGTGACATAAATTTGTTAATTTATGGCATGGCATCTTTTTCCTATGTGATTTATTAATTTTTTTGTATTTTCTCTGTTCACAGTTCTACTTCATCAGTGAGAAAGAGCATACAGCTTTTGTGCCACACTCTCCAGTCGGCTCTTGTACTCCAGATTTTTATAGTTACACTGGGGGACTCCATCCATTCCATACAGCAGACCCCAACAGCAGCAGGCAATCACTGCAGTGCTGTCACTGTCTCCTGTAAAAAGAGAAGTATGCACAGGCTTATAGTCCAACAGAAATGAACAGTGTGTATGTGTATTTTTAGGAGTTTCACTCTCTTGAGTTTGTTCTTTGTCTATTGTATGTTGTATTTTACCTGCATAGGATAAAGTGGTGTGAAAAATGGATGGATAGTTAAAACATTTGGTATTAATATTTGGTCCCATTTTTTATTAGGTGTCTTCAACTACTATGTACTTGCGTAAATATTTTCTTTGTTTGGTACATATTTTGTTCATGTTGTATGGCAAAACACTTTTGCTACTATTGAGGTGGTATATGGGTAAGAGACATATTTTGTGGTATACTTAGGTTTAAGAGTGGATTAAGGGGTAGGGATAGGGTCAACAGTGTAATTATTAGGGCTGCACAAAAAAAAATCATATTTCACTTTTGATAATGATTATTGCTTCTCTTGATTAAGCATAATCAACTGTGATATTTGCCCGATGGTTATTTATCCTGTAAATGTATTTTTTTCTTTACGTTGTCTTTCATTGATAGCATGGCTCCACAAGCATTCATGCTTAGGGTTACCAGATGTTAATAGTTTACATCCCCCAATCAGCTGTTCTTTTAAATGGAGACAGTTCCTCTTCAAGGGAACTCTGATGCTGCATCATTTTGATGACGATATGTACAGTTTGCTAATGTACATGCTGAATCCCTTCAATCTCATTGATGCACTGTCAAGCTATAAAGGATATCCGGAACAAAACATTATCAGCTTTCTGTGTCTTCAGTAAGCACTCTGTGTTTGTAAGTCTTATTTGGTTTTGTTTGTCCCATAGGATTTCGTTTTTAAATGGCAAATTCTAATCAGCAGTTTAATTTAGCGGCCCTAATAATTATAGGTGTAATTACAGAAATTAATTACAGATGTAATTTAAAGCAGGTATTTTAAAAATATAAGCATTTTGTTAATAAGTGAATTGCATGAATAACTTAATTTAAATGTTAATACTTATGAAATAAAGTGGGTCCAAAATTTTTATGAGGACTGATCCTCTCGATACACTGTCATTATTGCAAGTATTCATGCTTATTTCCTCACACCTACATGTCTTGACGCATAGTTTATCCCAGCCCTAGTTTTTACACAAACTTGACTAAAATACAAAATATAGTTAATTCTGAAATTTAGTAGGATGACCTCCATGAAATCCTGCTCGACTCATGAGTTCCTCCCAGTCTGAGCCTGCTCCTAAGAGGGCATCCAGAGCGATCATTGGAGCATCATGACCACTTCGACCAGCCCAACCTGACAGACTGAAACTCTTGTAGGCCTCGTCTCGTTCTGCTGGCCCATACATGTCAGGCCAAGTTACTGGCCCAGTCCCCAAAGACAATCCTCTTAGATCCAAATACCTTGGAAGATAAGAAGAGAATGTAGAGATGAAAAATTGGTAACATTACATTAAGATTCTCTTTGTAAAGGGTTTATAAAGGTGTTCATAAATGATATAAAATCTCAAATCTATTATAAATTGTTGATAATCGTTGATGATCAGTTAAAACTGAATGAATAAAAAGGTGTTTTTAATGCAATACCTGCCAAATAGTGAGCCATTTTTCAATCACGTTATAAATGCTTAATAAATATAATTATTCAAAATTAATTAACTCAAAACCAGATTCCTGATTTATTTCATGATGCAGCATAAATAGACTATTATAGAGAGACTGAAGGGTGTTGTATTTGTGGTTTTCTCATTTATATCTCACGATTCATGTCACTTTTCTGTAGCGAATCAGCTCATGGGGAAATATGAATAATTAACC